CTTCGTATTCCTTACCACTTAAAATTTCAAAGCTTGGGACCAATGATATGGTGGTTAAGGTGCTGAATTCCCACATGACTGACTATGTGGTTCAAGTCCCAGACCCGGCAGCTTGGAAATCATGCCAAGAGTGTGGGTGTATGTGCCCCAAATCCGAAGAGACTGAAGGAGAAGGGACTGCAGCGTGGCCAACCTCCTGGCATGTGATTTCTCACTTTTTCCCTTTCTCTAGCAAGTCACACAAGCCCTATGACAAAAATCTCAAACACACACACACTAGCAATTCAAACCTCTACACTATTCCTTCAGGATGTCTCTCGAACTGCTCAGCATTCCCAATATGATGGCCTTGTTATTCTTGTTATTATTCTTACTCATTCAGCAAATACAGTGTTTAGTCTGGCTCACGCCTAGAGTATATCTTGTTTTACTTTACTAAGATGGGATTGACTAGTTTTTCTAAACTACTTTAAATATGTCCTTCTGCAGACTTATAAAAAAAACTCAAAAAACCCAGAAGATGTAGTGTGAATTTTTTAGCCTGACTGAAAAAAAGGCTCTAATTTGATCCCAGCCTTCTGTAGCAAGTTAAGAGTCTAATATTTCCATCTGAGAATTTTCCCTCTGACTGTACACTGCCAGAAGACACTGAGCGCGTCCTCCATAGTCGGTACGCATCAATTTATCATCAATTTATCACCAAGACGCAGGGCATGCATGTGGCACTTAGACGTTCACTAAGACGTCACAGTTACAAAAGCAAAACAAAAGTTTTAAAAAAGGTACCAAGGGGCCAGCAGTTGGCATAATGACTATGTCGCTGGACTCCCATGTAGTCGACCGTGATTGGAGTCCTGGACCCGTGACTTAAACTCATGCTGGGAGCATGTGCGTGTGTGCCCAAGAACCCAAGAGGAGAATGGAGGAGAAGGGATTGCGATGTGGCCATCCCCCCGGGGGGGTGATTTCTTGCTTTCTGTCTTTCTCTGTCTTTTTGGCGAGCACATGTGGCCTATAGCAAAAACCTCTCAAAAAAAACAAACAAAAAAAAAGGTACTCAAGGTGGAGAGTAGTAAAAGGAAAAAGAGAGGAAGAGAGGCTAGACTAACTCCACTATATTTGTCACAAGACCATTTAAAATGTTATAGGGGCCAGCAGGTAGCGTGGTGGTTAAGAGCGCTGGACTCCCATATGGCCAACCACAGATGGAGTCCCGGATGTGGCGACTGGCTTTCTCACTTTCTCTTTCTCTTACTCTGTCCTTCTCTGGTAAAATTTTAATGAATGAATAAATTAATTAATACAGTTAAATAAAATAATCCCTAAAAAAATAAAATGTTATAGAACCATGAAATAAGTAAAAAAGCAATCTCTGAAAATTGGAAGTCAAATGAAGCAACTATTGTCTCACTGGTGGCATAACCACAGAGAACTACATCGACTGATCTCAGAATAGAGAATTGGCCCAGCCATGGTTGCTCAGTGGGAGTGTGGCGCTCTGATGCTGGAGGTCATATGGGAGATCAGGGTTTGGTTTCCTGACTGTCCTGGACATAACAGGCACATATGCCCTCGATCTTGGCTGTCTGGAAAGGCTATGGAAAAACTGCAGCGTGAGACCCTGTTTAGGGTTTTTTTCTCTGCCAACCCCCACCTCTTCTGCTTCTTTCTTGTTAAAGAAGGAGAGAAACTTAAAATACACACTCACACGCATCCACACTGTATCAACTGAACATCCATGCTGGAACATACCCCTAGGACAAAAAGAACTGTTAAAGTATGTCACCGAAAACCTATTCTCAGTAATCATGCTGGTGGTGGTGAAGTCTGTATCACAGGACAAAGCAGATAAGTCGGTATGTTGGTGTCGAAAATTCTCTGGGAAATTAGGGGCTGGGTGGTTGGCACAGTGGTTAAGGTGCCTGGATCCCACATGGCCTGCTGTGAGGTTTGAGTCCTAGACCAGGAAGCTTGAAAAAAAACATGCTGGGCATGTTGTATGTGTGTGCCCAAAGTCCCAAGAGGAGAATGGCAAAGGGACTGCAGCATGGCCATCCCCCCTGGGCGGGGATGGGTGGGTTCCTCACTTTCTCTCTCTCCAATGAGCACACGAGCCCTATAGCAAATTAAAATAATTTAGTTGGAAAATGAAATTTTTTTGTGTGAGAAAGAGAAGTTACAGCCACAAGATCAATCATTTTAAGTTAAAACCTTGGAATCCTGTTCACTGAATTGGAAGTACTGACATGAGCTCTTAATGTATTTTATCTTTAAAAAAAAAAATGCTGCAAGGCTAGCCCATGGCGTGGTGGTTGAGGCGGCTG